AATTATTAGATTCAATAGTATTATTAACTGTTTTTATAGCTATCTAGAATATAGCTGTTTTGCGAATACCGAGTTTATAAACTTTTTTGTAAATAATTTTGTAAGATCTGTATAATAGTATATGAAATCTCTTAATAATATTAATCGAATAATATACCTTTACAGGAATTATTTTTATCTAAATGGATATTAATATAATATATTATTAAAACTCTTTTCTAATAAAATTGATATTAGTATTATAAATAATATATTCTAATAGATTAATATATATATTAATCTAGTATTTATAAAGTTTATTCTATATATACTTTATAGATATATTATTTAGCTATTAAACAATTTGAAAGTATATAATTTCATTAATAATATATAGAATTGAATTATTATTAATATAAAGTATATCAATAAATATAATATAATTAAACTTAAAATCTTTATTAAATAAAGAAAATTTGAATTTATTAGATAACTTATTATAGATTTAATAATAATAACAAAATTTAATAAGTTATTTAATTATCTCAAAGTTTTTATTATACTCAAAATGTTTAAGTATTTTATAAAACTTATATATAGATAAATAACCGAATTGATGGTGAATTTGTTATAGTTTAATTTTGATGAGATAGTAATTATTATTATTAATAGAATAATTAATTAATCTTTCAATATTAATATTTTATAATAGAAATATATAATCAAATTATTAATATATAGAATAAATGCTTTTAAATGTAATAATAATATTATTAAGATTATTATACTTAAATCTAAATTATCTATATTGATTAAAAAAAGTAAAAATAAAAGATCGGTTTTCATTATATTTTATTTTATTTTCCCAAATAAAAGCTTAATATAAAATAAATCGATAGAAATTATTATTCTAATATTGTATTAAATTATTATCTATCTAATAATAATTATATTATATTCAATATTCTCAATCTTCTTCTATATCAAATACTAGTTATATTCGATAAATAATCTCTCAATTATATTTATATTAATTATAATACTAAAAAATGTATTAGTATTATATTACTTGTTATTTATAATAAATATCTTAGTTATTAATTTATGAATACTTATAGTATTATTAAGATTAATTATTACTAAAGAATTATTACAAATATTTATAGAGATAAAGAATATTCTGAAAACTCTTCCAGAACTGCTTGTATTAGTAAGATATTAATCAATGAGATGATTATTATCATTATCATTATTGTTATTATTATTGTTGTTTTGATTATCTTTTTATTTGATATTAATAACAAATTATTTGTATTGCTTTATAAAACTCTTATTATCAAGATTACTATACTTGATACAGTAATTTGTCTTAAATCGGTCTTTCTCCTCTTATATATACTTATAATATTTATAGCCCTTTTTCTTACAATTAGGGAAATAATAATCGTTTTTGCCTTTATTAGCTGGTATAGAGAAAGGTTATTGTGGGCGAAACTTGGTACTGGTCACGTGACCTCTTTCTGTAGCTAGTATTTATAGGTCTTCTTCGTATAGTTTAGAGAAAAGCAGTCAGTTCCCACCCACCTTCTCGTATGCTTTGTGATGCACTATATAGTACCTACTCCTCCTCTCCTCCACCAAAAGCATTACGTCTTAGTAACTTATCTGTAGTATTTACAAAGAACTACTTTATGACCCTACCACCTTCTACTCTTTTATATTATTATTCAATATATTTATTATAAGGTTTCCGAGAAAAGGAATCTGAAGATTTATTATTATAAAAATATCGATCTATAAAGAATATCTTAGATAATATATCCTACTTCGGAAATGCTTTTCGATAAGAATCAATAATTTGCTTAATTTAATTAATAAGCTTTATAATAATTAACTAAAGATTACATATTGTAGAATAACATTTCGGAATATCGTTATATATAGACAAGATTCTAATGTAATATAATTAAAAATCATATATATTCTTAGAAATAGTATATTAAATAAAATATGAATCCGTAATCATTATATTAAACACTTTCTGAAGTTTCTTAATCGAATTCTTTTTAATATAATTTTTAAAAATGATTCTATTCCATTTGAAAAGTATATTTCGTTAATATTCAGATTTTTTGAAATTGTTAATTATTATTTTATATATATTCTTATATATCTCAAAAAGAGTACTAAAATTAGTTTGATAAAAATCTTTAATTATATCTGAGAGTATAATTAGAAAGACTATTAGAGTTATTTTAATTAATATAAATACTTTATAATAATATTCCGCAAATATAGAGATTTTTAATTAAAAAGAATTATTGATATTTTTATGTTTATTATTATTTTTGTAGATTTTAGAAAAATCAATAAAGTAATAATTCTAATTACATTAATCATCTTCTTAATAATTGAAATAATCAAAATAATCTCTATTTTTATTACCTCTATTATTATCTCTATCACCACCTCTACCACCACCTCTACCATTACCTTTATTGCTTCTATTATTATTATTACTTCAGCCATTATTCTTATTACTATTATCATTATCTGAATTATTATCATCATTAAGTAATTCTATAGAAATATTAATTGATGGAATTCTAGAATCTGGTAAAGGTATATTTCATATATTCCTAGATTAGAATGGAGATTGAAATGAAACTGGTTTTCCCATTATATTATCTACAATTTTGTTAGATTTTGATAAAGTTAGTTGATTAGTTGTATTACCATCTTTAAATTTAGGAGATTCGGTTTGTGGTTTCGAACTGAATTCAACAGGGAGATGAGTTTATTTTGTTGATATAAATAATTGTATTTCAATAGACTAATATTTCAGAAATTGATTTATAGTTTAATTGTAATATTTATTACAATTAAATACTTTTATAAGAGTATTCTCGATATTTATATTGATATTAATATAAACTTTATAATATTATAAAACTATATAAAAATTATATAATATTAGCTTATTAATATTTCTTAATATATTTTTATAAATATAATTAAAATCAAATATAACTATATTCTAAAGAGATATATTAATAATCCCTATATTTAAATATATAGCCTTTCTAAAAAGAAAGTATTTGTTAATATAATACTCTATTTTCAATTTGAACACATATCCTTTATAAAATTATCTGATTTTATTGAAATCCTTTGGAAAAGTATAATCCTAAAGTTTTTCTTTAAATCTCAAATCCTTAGTTTCCTAAGCTTTTCTTTCTTTAGTTGATACTTTATCAGAAGAAATATAAGGATTAAAAGAAGTAATAAGATAAAAATAAGAAAGAGTACTAATCAGATCTAAATCTTTATAAAAGAAAATACTAAAACCTGTTTGTAGAGAATCAATATTATTAATTATTATATTGATATATTCTTTTATACTAATGAATTAATTAAATGAAATCAGTTTCTTATTAATATTGGGTTTCTTATCAATTTCGAGTTTCTTATCAATTTGTTTAAAGCTAATGTTAGTGTTTACCCGGAATGTTATAATGAAAATAAAAGAAGTAAAAATAAAAAGGTATTTCGAATAAGTAAATAAAGTAATTTGTAATATTACTAATTAATATTAATTTGAGAGAGATACGGAAAATGTGATTTCTATTATGTATAGATCCCTAAATGTCTATTTGTATTTAATTTAAAGAGTTAGCTAAATGAGGGAAATAATAGGCTTTATATAAACACTACTGAAAGAACTAGTTTCCTTTGCTTTTGTTTAATAACCTTAATACAGTTGCCTTTGTATTGAAGTGAATTCTTTGAAGTGAATTCCCTTGAATGAATTCCCTTGTTCATATAATTATATATCTAGTATAGATTATTGTAGAGTAATGGTTTAAAGAAGTTATTATCTAGTACCTACCTACCTACCTACCTATCTAGGTACCTATCTAGGTACCTATCTAGGTATCTAAATACCTAAGACATTCAAGTAATAAGATAGGAATAAATAAAAGTTTAAAGAAGGAAATCTATAAGCCTATGAGCCTAGGCACTAGGTAGATAGATAGATAGATATTTATATTATATATACTTTATATATATAGGTATCTATTTATAATTATTAAGACTAGTAAAACCAATAAATGTTAATAAAATATAATCGATTTAATAACTTATTTTTTTTTAAAAAAAGCGAAATTCTATATCTTATTAATTTTATTAAAATAAAAATTCAATTTCAATCGTTTCTAGATTTATTAATATATCTTTAAATTGAATAAACTTTTTAAAATAATTGATATTTTGATTAAAGGAATCGATATATAATTTTATAGATATATTAAAAAAATGATTATAGAATTGAAAGTAAATAAAATATAAATTCGATTTTGAGGTTAAAAATTAATATGTTTTTAAACTATTTTTAAACTTTTATTTCGAAATTTCTAATTCGATTAATAATAATTTGAAATAATCAAAAATCGTATAAATAATATAGTTTATTATTTTTTATTATTTGATTAAGTTTTCAATTGAATTGAATTATAATTAATAAAGGTATTATAGATCGAAATTGGAAAATCTAATGTTTAAATATTTTTAATAAAGTATTGAAATTTAAGGTTTTAAAAACATGTTATTAAATAGGGTGTACAATATAATATAATACAATAGATTCCTACCTCCTACTTCCTAAATATTAAATTATTAAACTATTAATTATTAACTAACCATCTAATCAATTACTACCTAATACTAACTAACCAATCACCTACCTATCTACTCACCTACCTACACATCTACCTACCCCCCTATCTACCTACCTACCTACCTACCTCATACTCTTCCACAGATACCCACCTAGATAGCTCTAATAAGAATAAGGCATCTACCTACCTACCCACCTACCCACCTACCCACCTACCTAACCATCCATCCATCCATCCTTTGAGACTGTTTCTAAGCAATCTCTTCTACATATCATACATACATAATTTACAGATTAATAGCATCTATCTGATTCTAGACTTTTTTGTTCCAACATTTTCTTCTACTCGATATACCTACCTAGGTAGACAATTTGCAAAGATCATTCGTCTCGCAAGCTCAAGATATACCTAGGTACCCCATTCATATACAAAAAGAGTAATTTTGAATCTTTCTAATTGTCTTATCGACTACCTAAGTACTGTAGGTACACCACCCAACCTATCTAACAAGAAAAACGTTTGAAAAAGAGACTTAAAAAAATTACATGCGAGTTCTGCTTTCTATGTTCTCATGCGCGCATCGTGAGTAATGTACTGGTTGTAAATAATGAACCAGCGACAACGTTCCCTACCCCTCCCGTACCTTCTCGTCCCATCCCAGCCAGCCTCCGTATTGTTCCATGCCATCCTCTCCATTTCATCCATAAAACATTCATTAGGAAATCCTCCGGGTGAATAAGACAAGGGCACCCATCACAATCTAAATCCAATCCTTGTAAACAAACGACAGAGCCTCGAGTAGGTCGATCTGTTTGTCAAAAAATCAAACTCCATCCAAATTTGTCTGGATCCGCCCGTTGCAAATACTGTGCTTGATTTTGAAAAGGAAAAAAACGGAGTTTGCGTTGCTCTCGAGTCTCAAGTAATGATAGATCTTTGAGCCAATTGATCCGATTTGCTGGCTTGATAATTTTGTACGCGTGAGGTAGCAAACAAGCAAGCGAGTACAAGGCATGGTAGAGGCAAACTATGCAGGCGAACTGGATGACCGCATGGTAGTTAACACCAGATACGATAATTATCGAAGAGGAGTAAAAAAATCTAGAAAGATCCGCCGAAGAACAAAGGAGTGGCGTAGTGGGCTCGGGAGGTTGATGACAGTGTAGGATATGAAAGATGAATGAATTTTTTGGAGGTATAGATTGGTGTGTGTGAAAACGATAAATAATGTATTTATGACCACACATCCTCCTATAATCAAGTTAGTTTATGTTTGTACAAGAAAGACTTGAAATGTTGAACGCAGTGCGGCAGGTGATAAAATCGGGGAAATCCCTCTCAGAACTGGAGTTTTTCCGATCATAACAATCCACCACCTAGATAGTCGAATAAAGTGGCGGAAAACTTGGTGAAGCAGTAGACAATGCGGAAAGGAAAGTAAAAGCATAACATACCTGGTACTGATTGGCGGATCGCATACTTTTTACAACATCCTCAGCCTTTGATTCCGGGATGCCACGTTGCTCTGATATGATTTTACCAAGAACAGTATTGACTTCTCTAGCCATGTTTGCGGCATCACCACAAACATAGAAGTAGGCCTTTTGCATGAGAAGATCGTTGATTTCTTTGGCATGTTCCTTGAGACGGTGCTGGACATAGACCTTTTCCTTACCCTCACGAGAGAATGCAGTGATGAGCGAGAATTTGTCACCAAGGGCTTCTTCGTATTCCTGGTGAAATGTTAGCTAAATTGCTCCTCTATTTCATTCCTGAGAGGAAGAGGATTTACTCACCTTCCATTCATCTTTGTACATGAAATCTTCTGTAGACTTTCTACATCCAAAGAATAAGATTGTTCGTCCAACGTTCTCGCCAGCCTTTGCCTGTGCAGCTCTTTCCTGGACAAATGCCCTGAAAGGTGCAACACCAGTTCCAGGACCAATCATGATGACAGGCTTAGATGGATCGGATGGGAGCTTGAAGTTAGAGTGTCTGACGTGTACCGGGACGTGAATGCCATCATACTTGTTGCGTGGTCCTGTGATTTCGTATGTGAGGCCATGAGGATCGGGGTGGTCGTCGCCATGTTGCTTCTGTTTCAATGCAAGGAGATAATTTGTGGTAACACCCTTCAAAGCGTCGGTTCTTCCAGGAATATCGATTGACTCGACAACAGCCGTAATGGAGATCTTTTTCTTTTGTACAAGCGAGGAAGACGAAATAGAGTAGTAACGAGGTTGAATCTTGCCCAAACCTTCAATGAAAGCAGAAAATGGGATAGCGCTCCACGTTTCTTGACCACCAACTTCCTGCAAAACCTGGGCGATGTTCAAATAGTTGCTACTGATCTTTTGGTGAAAGTAATCTTTATCACCACCAAGCTTTTCCATTTCGGCCTTGATGGCGTCATTGGGGGCAAAGGCGGCTAAAGTGGCAAGGAATTGACGTGATACAGGTGCGCATATCTCCATGTGATATCTAACTATAGCATCGTATGTTGTTGGCGTAGGGAAGGGGACCTTTGCAGTTGCATCCAATGCTTTGACGGCAATGACAGAATCCTTCTTGGAAGAAAGCCCGGTAACATTGAGGAATCGGTCCACTTCTCTTCCGGAATTTGTTGGCCAAATTGCAATGTGATCTCCGGTTTGATAGCTGAGGTTAGATCCACTGATATCGACTTCCAAGTGCAAACAGTTTCGGTCTTTGACGGAGAAAAGCTCCTTGGATTCGGAGATAGGAGCGATGTAAGGGTTGTGAGCGTTGTAAGGACCCTTCGATGTGCCCTCTAAATGCATCTTGTTTGGCTCGCCGAGATAAACTTCTGAGGAATCCTTTGTCAACTCTTCCCTGTCTGTAATACCAAAAACCGGTTCATAAACAGCTTCACGTTCCTGGAGTCCCATCTTTTCGGCCAATGCAGTCCACATTGGGTCCTTCCAGGCCAAAAAGTCTTCTTCCATAGTACCAGCACCATCATCTCCCTCACCGGCTTCACCAATTCTTGTAGCGCCGAGCTTCTCGAAAGCCTTTGTGACGTTTCTGACCATGGAGTTGTAGTGTTCGTAGGTGTTGTTTCCGAGACCAAATGCAACAAATGTGAGGTTTTTGAGCGATTTCTCGCCACTAGAAAACTCAACATCCTCATTCATGAAGTATTCATAGAAATCGACAGCGTTATCGGTTGGTTCACCTTCACCATACGTAGCCAGTACGAAAATTGCGACTTTATCTTCCCCAAAGGTATCGAGATTGTCGTAATCGTAGTCTTCCAAGTCTGCTACCATGGTCTCCAAGCCGAAACGACTCTTGCCTTCCTTTGCCAATCTAGAAGCATAATCTTCTGCGGTACCAGTCTGCGAACCATAGAAGACGACACAGTTCTTGTTGGACTCGTCCATCTTCTCCACGATATTTCTTGTCTTTGCGGGTTTGTTTCCATTGGTGGCGGCATAGCTGGTAGCATAGGGATCCTTCACGATACCCCAGTATTTTCCTTTTGTAAAGTATGCTATCGTTCCCAAAGCTAGAACCCCAAGGACGACAATGTCCAGGACGTCAAGTTGTCCACCCATCTTGAACTTTGAAGATCTGCCGACAGTTCAGAGGAAATTGAATGAGAGGATAACCGCAGAAACGGCAGAGAGGATACGAGTGAACTTATGCTCCAAGAAGAGCCGAGAAGAAATGACACCTGGCTAGTCGGTGAGTTAAGTCGCCGCTATGCTGACTGTGTTTGAGAAAAAAACGAGATAAGGTTTGATGTCGACAGATATAAATTACTATGTACACATGTACAAAATGTATGTTGTAACTACGGTAAACTTTTTGGATCCTTGAGGACGATCAATCACAAGCCTAGCCGAGTCGAGTTTGTATGAGAAGTGTTCTCTTGTTCTCTTACTTTCCACCAGGGCACGGTCAACCCGTTGATCGCGGAAAGGCAATGGAGGCAAAGGCAACGTGGTTGAATGGTTTCGGAAGGTGTCGGAAACCGAAAAGGCGCCGAAAGTATGACAAGATGAAAACCTTGAAGGTAATTTGAATGTTGATCGAAGTGAATTTGAAAGTGGTGGTGACCTCGGGAATGGAAGACTCACCTGCCCGGGCAAGCTTAGGAATCGGGAGGTGGAGGTAAGCTGGAGGTTCCTGGTGTTCCTCCAGCTGGAAACGATGGGTGCACCTGGGCAGCTGGAGGTGCAGGTGTGGCTGGATAGTGTGGCTGGTGATTAGTGGCGCAAAGTGGTTGTAGGTCGACCGGAGAAGACAGTGAATGAAGCCGACCTCGGGATGTGTACTAGGTAGATATAAAACTTTGTAGTCAAGTACCTCCAGCTAGGTAGGCAACTAGATTGTCACTTGCATCTCAACAAAGTACCATTTGAACCGTGGCTCGTGGTTTGCTTCTATATACATGGATGGCTAACTTCTATGGGTCTTGCTGTGTGCTCCGTGTGTACGAAGTACATTGGATGCTGGCTCGGCTGGCTGTCAATCATACATAACTCCGGCTTCCTGGGCCCCTGGTAGTCCGTCCATGGATCATAGTTATCATCTACGATAGAGAGAGATAAATGTCATCCCCTAGCAAATCGAAAGCTAGCATTCATGGCATCATCACAATTGCAATGTTGAATGTTTTTTTCTGTTCTACGAGAATGAGCGGCTGCTTTCCGCGTCTCTGCGCAACACCCGTCCTCCTAAACATGAAACTAGCTACCTAGGCATCTGAACGTTCCATCATGTAAAACTTCTCTCGCCACAGATATTTCCATACGGAATTAAATACCGGCACTGAGCTAATTGCCATCGAGTTGCACAGCAAAACGTGTACCGGCCGCTGGAAGATCCGATATTCCGCTTTGGGGGGGAGGGGGGAGGTAACGTAACTTGGTGGAACCAACAGAATTTTATGATTTTGACTTTCGGCCTTAGGAGTCCTCGGAGTTGGGATTGATTGTCCTTTTCTATCTATATATGTAGGCACTGCCAGGTAGGTAGATCTAGAACGATAATATCATGCGAGTACGAAGTAACTTTTTAAGATTGTGGTAAAACATCGGATCCGGTATATCATGAAGCTTCAATAAGGTTTTGATATTGACTCCGAGGAAAATGGAGAATGGAGTGGTGGTGGCGGATCCTTGGAGAGGAAAATCATGTCATCTTACCGAGGCGCTGCTGACATGAGCCAGTTTGCTTTGGTGGTGGTGATTGTTACAACATCCTTCTATGTATGTCTATCAGATACCTCTCCCTTATCATTATTGTGATCGCACAACACGATGGAAAGAAATCGGTTCACTTTCTTCCTCGACTGCTCAATACCTACCTAGGTACCTAGTAGAAAGATACCTATCTTAAACATTCAATATCGCCTGGAGCTTGTGCAACATGGAGTTAGGAGATATCTCAGCCGTTTAGTCAATCCTCGCAACAAAAGGGGCATAGGGAAGTAGGTATTAATAGGTGAGCCTCCAAGGTTCGAGATGTCTTGAACTGAGAATTCGCCGGAAATTCAGCAATCAATTCTGCACGTATGCCTACCTAGTACCTACCTAGGTATTCAGAGATATTAAATAGCTGTCGAGAACTTAGAACACAGCTAGATCCTTTATCGATTACAGACTGGGGATCTATCCTATTCGTAGGAGAAAAAACAGGCCGGAATTGACCACTGCTCTCTACAGAGTCTACACATTGTTTTGGTGAGGGTGCACGTACCATTACGCAATGGTCAGTTCCGGCCTGTTTTTTCTCCTACGAATAGCTATCGTCCCGGCTCTCTAGGCGAATCGTGGGAGGGCACGTGAAAGGGAAGGGAAAGGACGAGAAGGATCCGTGCCAGCCAGCTCATCTCTCCTCCGTACCACTACGCCATGAATAATTGCAGTCTATCTAATGACTAGGTAGGTAGTAGCTGTTCTAGGCACTATTGATTCTGATTTTGAAGATTCCTAGGTAGTCAGTCTTCCAAGGTTAGGTTATTCTCACAACCGAGTCATGAATCATTGATATGCAGAGAAGAACTGAGTAGCAAGTGTTGAGTTGAATATATATATATATAACCTTAGGTACTTATACTTAACAATCTGCATAGTCCGTATTCTAGTCTCGTATTGCCGTTGTTGAGCTCACGTGAAAGTGCAAGGTAATTGTTCTGTGCGTACCTACCTTAGTAGGGGTTGCTGGTTTTTTATTATAGTGTCTCAATTGTATTTGAAAAAAAAAACTATATATACGAAATAAAACTGTATACGAAAATAAAACTGTATACACGAAGCAAAACTGTATATGTGAAGTAAAACTGTATACGCGAAGCAAAACTATATATATAGAAAAACTATATATAAAATTAAATTATAATTATAATATTATTATATTAGAAAGACAATATTGTATTAGAAAAATAATATTATATTAGAAAAATAATATTATATTAGAAAGATAATATTGTATTAAAAAGATAATACTATATTAAAAAGATAATACTATATTGAAAAGATAATATTATATTAGAAAAATAACATTAATTTAGATGAGATATATATTAATAAAAATAAATTTGATTATATAATCTAATTTAATTAAATTTGATTATTAAAAACATTATATGGGATAATAGCGTAGTGATAGTATATACTATTTATAATTTGAAAAAGATTAAAAATAAAAAGAATAAGAATGAATAAAAAGATTTAAAAAAAAACGAAGAATAAAAAGAAAAAAAAAGAATAATACTCAGATGTTGAGAAAAGAAAAATAGGGATTATTTTTTATTTATTTATATATTAGTTTTATTTCGCATATATAGTTTTACTTCCATATATAGTTTTTTACTTCCATATACAGTTTTATTTCGCCATATACAGTTCGCTCCCTATACAGTTTTATTTTCATTATATAATATTTATTTAACACAATATTCGAATTATTATAGTACTAAATATAACTCTATGAATATACCAAATTTCGTGCATTACAGTTCTAATAAATTTTGATAGTTGAAAACACTATAATAAAAAACCAGCAACCCCCACTAAGGTATTCGTAGGTACTTATATTGATTGTTCTCTCTGCGATTTATTACATCGTATAAAAAGATGTTCCATGGGCTGGAGCTGGGGCTGGGGCTGGCTCAGCGGCATCAGGGGTCCTGTTCCAGGGGTTGGACCATCATTGGCTGCTAACACATAATCTACTATGAACATTCGCGATATTCTCCAAATCGTAGATTTAGAACATCAGAACGTTGAAAGAAAGTACCAATTGAAGCTGCGACGAGATAAGCAACTACATTTCTACAGCTGGGTGGTCTAACAATGAGAGGAACAAGGAAGTAGAGAATGTAGGGAGAATTATATGGGCAACATCCCGTGACAGAATGAGTGAGTACCATGCCCGTTAGGGTGCTTTAGCTCAAACTTCCCGACCCTCAGAACTTGACGCAAAGCATCGCATTACATTTTTAGGGGACCAGCCCTTATTTACATATGAGACACATCCTTGCTGATACTTCTCTCAAGCATCATTTCCAGATCCTCGTGCTGAAGGTATAACAGAAAACTTCTCGCCCATCGACATTGATGTGACTACGTACCCTGCAACCTTGAAACGCTCGCATACCACCAACTCGAAATCCGGTGTTCACTCTCGAGAGCCGAGTGCGAATCAGTCCTTTTTCGCAGGACTCAAGGCCGCTTTCTCCGAATCGCCTTCCCAGCCTGCCAATCTATCACCGCGACTCTACACAGGTAGTACGAGAGGGGGATCGATAGATGCAGATGCGAAGAGCCATCACCGAAATACTAGCATCGTTCATGGCATACAGCGGTCCAGGAATGGGAGCTTTGGGAGTTCATCTACAAGCCCGCTGAGCCCGCAGATAATTGCTGCTGCAGGTGGAGATTGGACAGATGCATCGGTCATGGGCGATTCGAATTTCTCCTCCAGCGCATCCAGCATGACCAGCGGCACTTCTTTTAGCTCGAATACAACATTTGTCCCCTCCCGGAGCCCTTCAGCGGCCGAAAATGCGCCATCAGGCAGCGCACAGAGAAATATGGAGCGTGGTAATAGTAATAGTGGGAGGAGTCGAAGAAATCATGCGCATCATCATTCCCATTCAAGACACCATAAGGACGAGTTGAAAACTGTTGGCGAGTATGCTCTGCATGTCTTGTTCACTTCAGTCAGTTCTCCTTGACCATTTTTTTGGCATAATTTCTAATGTCATGCTCCAGTTTATTGCGCAAGCAGAGGAAAAGATCTCACAGTGTGTTACTTTACCACTGGACCCAGAACCTCAAATTGAACATATATGCGGAATGGGAGTAGACCCGGCATTTGATCAACTGATCTCTGCTTTGGGTCATATCGCAAGCCAAAAACCTAAGCCTCTTATTGATTCAATGATGCTATGGCGAAAGAACAAGAGTGATGCTGCCAACGAGGCTAGGATTCAGCTTCAACAGGTATGCTTGAAATTCCCAAGTGTTTATGTCCGTTGCTCATGAAACCCTATAGTCTCGCGGCAATTTACTCCCAGGTCAACTCCCGCGGAGGAACACTGAGCCGCCTCATATGCACCAAGACGATCTCATGGCTGGTCTGCCAACTATCGCTGCGCGGCAAGAGTTTGTCGCCCAAGCAGAACGACGATCGACTGCTTCAATATTTATACTGTGCCGAGTCTTGATGGAAGTCATTGGTCAAAGTACCTTGGCTCGTATAACTCCTGAGATGGAAGAAAAGCTAGAAGGAATTATCTTCGGACAACTGAAGATCGCCGATGCAGATCAACTGAGTACCTCGCCTCTCAAGATGGCCAACTGGTTCTTGTTCAGTCAATTGCTTGGCGTTATGGCTGAGATCAATTTTGATAGTGTCACTGATCGCTTCATAGCAGACCTCGAGAAGTCGCAGAAGGATCTAGTGATCAAAAGTCCAGTAAACAGGGATATCGAAGGGCGAATGGTCTTAGTTCTCGGTGGTATGAAGCACATTCGTCTCAAGACATATCCTGAGGAAGCGTGGGATCAATCTTGCGATTTCATGATTAATCTGGGTAAATTCTTTCTGAAATCTCATGGGCAACAACTAAAATATGCCTATTGTATGGCGCTTGAAATACTTCTTTTGCCAATTGCTGCCACAGCAAACACGGAGCTCAATATGCCGAAGTGGACGGAAGTGTTAGCAACCATAGGTCCCAGACTGGCTTCAATGTTTATCAAACCTCGTCACTGGGCTGTTGCGTTTCCACTGACAGCGACGTTGCTCTGTGTTTCGCCCACAGATACCTTCTCAACACAATGGCTTCAGCTAGTATTACCCCTGCAGGCAAAAATGAAGGAACCAAGAACTAGACCAATTTGTCTACAGGTGATCTCTAGGCTTGTCTGGACCTATTTGCATCGCACAAATGAACCTACAAATGCCACAATCAAAAAGCTAGAAGATGTCATGAGACTTGTATTACCTCCTGGAAAGAAGTCCTACATCTCAACGGATTCATCAATCATCGAACCGCTAATCCAGATTATACGCATCATTGGCTTTAAGTATCAAGATTTCTGCTTCCGAACGATAGTCTTCCCCTTAATCAATGCAGATTTGTTCGCTTCTGGGCGGGAACTCAAAGTCGAACAGCTAGAACCAGAAAAAATGGTTGTAGGGATTCGAGCTTTTCTTGCCATCATGTCAGATCTAGAGAAGGGCGAACAAGGCTGTCCACCATTTCCACAGCACTACTCACCGTTGCCGGTGTTCGAAAGGATGCCGACTTCACCCATTATGACAGCACCTCGCAGCCCCATTACCCCATCTCTAGTAGTTCCCAACCGCGAAGAAAGACTCTCTCGACCTGTGATTACTAACACACTTGGTGACGTTGCCAAAGAATATTACGCAAAGTTTTGTGAAATTTTAGGAAAAATTACTATCATTTGCGACAATACTTTTGGGGGTCAAGCCGTATTGGATGAAAAGTTCAATGGACCCATACCCAAAACTCCACTGGCTGAGAGCTTCAACTTTCGCCGAGACGACCACCTAACTCCTTCAGAGCAAAAACAAGGATTCTACGAGCTATTGCATGTTGCAGTGCAAGCACTCCCTAGGTGTTTATCGGCCGATATACCATTTAACATTCTTGTGAATCTTCTTTGCACCGGCACCGCTCACGTGCAGTATAATATTGCAGAGTCATCGGCACAGTCTTTGAAATCAATCGCTAGACAGTCTCACGCTCAGCCAGTGACTATTGGGTTTGCTCGTTTTATCTTCACTTTTGATGACAGATATTCTACCATGTCTGATGGTGGGATGCTTGGCCCTGGTCACATAGAGAATACTTTGAAGCTCTACGTGGAGCTACTTCAGATCTGGATTGAAGAGATCAAAAACAAAATGAAAGACGCTGCATCAGATATCTCAGAAGATGGTTCAGCCGATAAGAGGGGCGTTCAACTAGATCTATCTGGGATCTGGGCACATGTTGACGAGGTTGAGTCGCATGGCTTGTTCTTCTTATGTTCACAGTCAAGGCGAGTACGTGCCTTTGCAGTCACAGTCTTGCGCCTGATCACGGAATTTGACACTGCTTTGGGTAAGGATAATGGCCGACTGATACATATTCTTGAAGGGGATGCCAAAGGAGTAATGGATTTCAATGACGAGACCTTGTCTGTTGCAGAGCGAAGTAGATTACAACGTGGCTTACAGAAGACAGACCTGACAGAAAGAAATGAGAGTGATTTGATTGAGCTTTGCAGCAGCGATGTGTCTTACGACACAACTCTATGGTTTAAAATCTTTCCAAATTTGATACGAATCAGTTACGATCGTTGTCCGTTCGCTGTGACGCTGGGACGCGAACTGATTTGCAATCGAATCCTTCAGATGTACCGAGGTATCGTTGTATTATCAGAAGCAAATCGTGGCCCGCAATATGGCTACGACACTGGAAGCGGCCGTTTATTGTCAAGATCATCAACCACTCCACCAGAAGTACTGATTGAACAGTGGAAACTTTATCTCATCGTGGCATGCACCACGCTCTCTGACAAGGGTGGCCAGCAGCAATCATCGCCGCCAATAACGCAACACTATCGAAAGGGGTCGAAGCCAAATCAAACATTAGAGAAAATCACTTCCGCAAGGATTCTCTTCAAGTACCTTATTCCATTACTCTCCGTGGGTCCGGCTTCAATTCGAGATGCAGTGGTCGTGGCACTTGGAGCGATCAACATTAATATCTACAAAACACTACTAGAAGAACTACAAGGAGTAGTAAGTCGATGTAACGATGATGCACGCGCTCGTATTCATCAACGAAGTTCTAGTAGCCCTCGACGAAACAGAAGAACTGATTTGCTAAGAACTGAAGTCACTCATGTATACAAATTAACAGCTTCGTTCCTGAAGGAGAAGGAGATCTACGAAGACGATTGGATCCTAAACAACCTTGTCATCTACACAAAGGACCTCAAAATTTTCCTAATGGACGGAGAGGTTCAGCTGGATTGGGAGTTCCAAAAGCTTCGTCGTCACTACTGTGGATTGATGGAAGAGCTCTTTGAGGGTATCAATCTTACCAAAGACCCTTCTCGGTGGATGACATTCGAGTCCAGGAAGTCTTCCTTTGCTCTTATGGAGGACTGGTGCGGCTATTCCCCGAATCAGAATCAGATACGACAGCGAGAAGACAATATGAGACAATCCATGATTAACCAACAATCACTTGGTGAACGGGGAGTTGTAACGGCTGCCATGGAAATCGAGAAAAGGAACCTTCGAACTGCAGCTCTTAGCGCAATGGCTGCATTATGTGGAGGTCGTGTCAGCATAACAACAGAAAGTGGAGCCAATCTACAATTCGACATTCGACGTATGCTCTCCTGGGTAGATACTATATTCAACACTGGCAGTGATCGGATGCATGTTATCGGGCGACGAGCTTTGAAAAACTTGATAGTACACAACAAGGAATTTCCCTACCTTCTAGAGCATTCTATCACGAGGTGCTATCTTGCGGAAGCAGCCAAAGTACTCCAGAGCTATTTTGGAGTCGTGACCGAGGTACTCATTGAGTATCCAGATTATCCAATGCCCTTCTGGAGATTGCTGGGTATTGGACTGTACACACTTGGAAGCGAATTGGGCGATATCCGCATCAAGTCTGCCCGTATACTTCGTGCTTTAGAGGAAAGACAGCAACGAAGTTCTAAAATACAAGACTTTGACATCAGCATTTCAGATAAAACAAAAGCAGTTTACAAGCTCGCCCAATTCGAAATATCGAAACGATTGTCAACCAACCATTCCGAATTGGCATTTTTGATTTTTTCTGAGTTCACTATGTATTTCAAAGAGCTGCAGGCTGGGCCACAAAGAAATATGGTTGCCGCTATTCTGCCGTGGATTCAAATCATAGAACTACAACTGGATCCGAATGGCGGCCCAACTGCGCAATCGTATGTTCTGTTGGCAAATCTGTTTGAGATAACGATTAGATGCAGTAGCACTCTTCACAATGAAGTACAGGCTTTGTGGCAAGCGCTTGCCACAGGCCCTCACGCTGGGAACGTTCAATTAGTACTAGATTTTATCATGTCATTGTGCCTCGACAGGCGAGAACAAAACTTTGTGGAGTATGCAAAGCAAATTGTGGTGTTCTTGTCTAGTACTCCTGCTGGCGGTAAAGTTGTGGAATTTTTGTTGATGCAGATCACGCCGAAAGCGATGGTTCCCAATGAGAAACGCGAGTTTTTGCCACCTCCACCTGATGTTGGAAAGCTGCCGTATATGGCAGAACTCTCGGAGGCGTTGCCGATTGGAAATAAACAAACAGGACTCTCGTTGGGTCAACTATCTCTCATACTACTCGTCGATTTGATGGTATCACCTGTTCAGCTTGTGGCAGACAATGTTCCTCTTCTTTTGCAAGTAGTGACTGTCCTCTGGGATCATTACATACCGCTGGTACAAGAACAAGCTCGAGAAATGTTGATTCATCTGATACATGAGCTGGTAATTTCTCAGATTGATGACGAGAGTACTAACCCAAGTAAGAATTCAATCGAGGATTTTATTGAGTCAATTCGCCGTCATGATCCCAAAGTTATCTGGCATTACGACGATAACAGCGGCAAGGTATACGACCAAGAGAACAAAGTTCCTCCAGGTATGGAGCTCCTCACCGGTGAGGTAGTGAGGGATTTTGAAGTGAAATATCCTGGAATTCAAGAGCAGTGGGCCAAGTTATCGTTGACTTGGGCAACATCTTGTCCCGTCCGACATCTTGCATGTCGATCATTCCAGGTTTTCCGATGCACCCTCACTTCACTCGACCAGTCTATGCTTGCTGATATGTTGATAAGACTTTCAAATACCATTGCCGACTTGGAAAATTCTACTCAGTTATTTTCTATTGAGATACTCACAACATTACGAACGCTCATTCGTAAACTCGAGCCTGCTGACTTACTCACTTTCCCTCAACTCTTTTGGACAACATGTGCTTGTCTGGATACGATAAATGAACAAGAATTTTTAGAAGCTGGGCATATGCTCGAAGAACTCCTTGCAAAACTTGACTTGGATGACCCCTCTGTTAGAGATTTACTTGCTGAAGGAAGACCTACGAACTGGGAAGGTTCCTTCGGAGGGGTTCAAGCTTTGGTTTACAAGGGTATTCGCTCATCAGCCTGTCTTGATATGACACTCGCAACTCTCAATAAGCTCATTACATTGCCGAGCGACGAGCTTATCGGAGACGATAGTCGATTGTTATTTGCGGTGTTGGCTAACTTCCCTGGCTTTCTAAATGCTATGGACCAACCAAATATTGATCAGAAGAGCATACAAACTGCCGAGATCCTCGCAGGTGTTGCAGAAGCGCAAGGCTGTAGCACTATCTCACGGGCTCTTATTGGGTTCGCTGGATCGCGTTACCGTTCTAGCAAAGATTTCCTGGCGCAACTAGTTTCTGCTCTTCGTGAGTCGTTCTTCCCGAAATGGGAATTCCGCAGTTTGACATTCGTCATGGGGTCTCTAACAAATAGTATACCATGGTATAAGTTGAAGACGATGCGCATTTTATGTGCTATCATTCCTGACATCGACATGAAAAAGCCGGAGATCGCTTCTCATGGGCCTGATCTTATCTCGCCTCTGCTAAGACTGCTTCAAACAGAGTTTTGTATGGAAGCTCTAGAAGTACTAGACAAGATCATGACCATGACTGGAACTCCGATGGACAAGCACCACCTACGTATGAGCATGACGAGATCTTCTTCAAGGGCAATGAGGAAAGAATATGATAACACTCAGAGCCTCTTTGGCATCCCGGAGGATTCTGGCTGGTCAATTCCGATGCCTGCGAAACAAGCTAGTATCACAAGATCTAATGTTCATGCTGTTTTTTACATGTGCCAGAGTACCAAGAATACGGATCATGAAGTTGCTGCGACCCCAGATGTAGAATTTCATGTGGATGACTTCCAATACGGTTATTTCCCGCAACCTGAGAGAACTGAGACTATGATGTCGGATGAGGCTCGAGGCGATGGCAATATTGGTGACCTTATGATGAAGCTTGACAGCTTGGACGACTTCTTCGAAGATAGCCTGCAGAGTCCCACGAGCGATGGCAGGTCATCGAGAACCATAACAGAAGTTGGTTTTTCGGGCGAAAATTTTGATTCCGCTGCGGCTCAGTTGTATGACGAACAAACTCTACCTATTCTTCATCAGTCCCTCACTCATTCAGCGACCAATTCTACGTTTCAGAATGGCTTTGCTGATTTACGTCCATCACGAGAATCAAACAACGCCATGACTCCGGCTGCTTTCAATCTCGTCCCCACCTCTAGACCGAGTCTACACGCGCGTGCTTTGACATCACCTTCAACATCATCGGGTCATCCCAATATAACTTACATGTCAGACGACGACTTCAGTGAAGATGTTTTCTCGGATGGTGAAGAGGACCGTGCAACAACTTCAGGAGAAGGGTCATTTTTCCTTGAGAATATGATCAAGCCCCTTGCAGCCGGTACCAGATTAGGCATGCGACGACTCACTGGGGGTAGATCACGAGATAATGAACGTTTTCGAGATAGCCTACGAGCAGAAAGGAGAGGGATTTCACAACCTCCTCGGTCGCCACGAGTACCCAAAGTCCCTACCGCGTATCTTCAGCCGCAGAAACCCTTGAGTCCAGATGAGGGTATTTAAAATAAAATAAAAAGTGTTGTATTGTTCTGTATGGTGTTGATAATTATAATTATTTTATGACGAAATTTTTGGAGGATGCAATTTTTGACGAGACAATTTAATGAAACGAGTTCGAATTTTCTTCAGGAGTTCAATGAAATGAGAGCAAGCGGTAAACAAGAACTGTATCTTGTCAATTTGTCATCTGGAATTTCTGACGTCTCATCTTAGTTGCGTGGGAATGAAAATGGTATGGAAGGAAATTTCGAATCGATTTGGATGATGGCTGATTAGATCTATGGATGAATCGTGTGCTTGTTGTGGAGTTCGTCGGGGAACAACTTGTGATCACAATCTAGCATGGATGATAGGATTCTTGTCTTGTTTGTATGTACGATAGTGTGAGCTCAGCTGCCTTGGGGTCGGCTATTTGTATTTGATTGGTAGGCGGAGGTGATGAGAATACTACGATCATTTAATTCTCGTGAATGTGGCGGCGACTAGGTTTCTAGTGAGCTTGCTTGTGTCTGTCTTGTGTCTTGTGATTTGTGTCTTGTACCTGAATTGTGTGTATGTGTGTGAAGGGGTGGTCGGAAGCTTAGTGGTAATCTCATGACTCCCGATCAATTTGTCTCGAAAAGCACGTCTCTATACCCCGTGTTTTAGTAGAAAACACGATCGATCAGGCATTGGGACTTTTACGTACAGTGGAAAAGTTCGGAGACTTGAGGATTCATTTCCATTGGTAGTCATGTAGCTGGAGCTGGAGCAGATTCGTTGTAGGCACCGTTCAGGCTCACTTTGATCAATAAAACATTCACAACTTGAGAAAACAATAGTAGCCGCTGCATTTGATAAAGCATATGTAGGAATGTAGGAATGCAGGACGCAAAATCTGGAGAGATATGGATATATATGATCTTCATGATTTTGGACCCGAGTGATATTATATTTGTGAACTCATATTTTCTGTTGCTACATCATTCATTCCCCCATTGATTCCCCCAGTGATTTCGATCACAGTGTTGCATAAGTGCGAGAGAACAAATGAAAGTTTATATACAAGTATGTATTATTTCCCGCTCCAGCCCAACCCAACCCGATCCAATTCATGTATGCATACAAGCCTCGCTATCCACCCAACTCATCTGCGATGAGTACAGAATGCGGTATACTAGCTATATATCCATGGATATCAAAGAAAGCCCTCGTATCGATTCCATTTCCTCTACCTCCCTCTACACCCCATGTTCCCCCCCAAAATAAAAAATCTTCTACAACCACCCCCCCTCCACAGCATTCGGATCAACCACCGGCGTCGGTTTTCTCGCGATCCCCATGCCTCGCGGCGGTCCACCATGTCCCATATTCACACCCGCATGCGGATTATAGGCAATGCGCACTTCCTCGTCCCGGGAATCAGTGATCGGGTATCTCTGCATGGACGCCTCAGGATGACTTGCTATAGGTGTTGGTACAGGAGATCTTCGATCTGGCATCCTCGGTGCAGAATGCGGGGACGGACTATTTCTCGTGCGGAGACCGGAGGGTACCCATCCGGATTGACGGATGTTGTTGCTTAGTGCTGCTTCTTCTTCTGTTTCTTCGTTTTGATTTGAGGTTTGATTTTGGTTGTTATTTTGATGTTCGGCGCCTTCTTTTTCGGCGCGACCTTTGCGCGAGAAATTGCGACGGGTGCCGGGGGTGTTGGGGTCGGACATTTGCCGTGTGAGGAAGGAGTCTGCGGGGGGTGACATGGATTCGGCGCCTATGGCGCTTGTTATGTCGGCGTAGAGGGCGGGCATGGCGGGCATGGGTTCGTGCTGGTGGTCGGCGGAAGTGGAGGGGCCGTCGGCGGGGGCGTAGGTGCGTCGATCTCCTGTGAGAGCGAGGTGCCAGTTTGCTTGGGAGGCTTTGGGGACGATGGGGGTTTGGATATCTTCCATGATATCGAGGGGTGGGAGGTCGGTAGTTGGAGGGAGAGTGTAAGCGTTTGTGCTTGGAGCTGGGGTTGGGGCCGGAGACGTGCTTACAGGTGGTGGGGAGCGAGAAGGGCGAGGACGGAGAGCTTGTGGCTCAGGGGAAGAGGAGTTATAATATATTTGAGGTTCGGGAGATTGAGATGGGTAGTAATGCTGAGGTTCGGGCGATTGCGATGGATGGTAAGGCTCTGAGGAGGGTGGGCCACGTGTTCGAGTCGGGTCATAGGACTCTGGAAGTATTTCGGAGTGTGGTGGTTGGAATGGATCTCGATCTGGTATAGGAGATGGAGAGCGAAAGTTGCGGGCGTAAAGATCAGGAGTTGGTGCTTCAACGGGTGCGTCATGTCCGGCAGGTGTAGTAGGTCGATGATAAGGAGATTGAAAAACAGGTGCATAGCCTAGGTTGTTGGTGCTGCTCATTTGAGAGGAATAGTCGTGAGGTGGCGGGGAATGATTTCCGAATGGAATGGGAGAGCGAATCGGTTGTGGAGATGGCGTTGCGTTAGGAACTGCGTCAAAGGTTGATTTTGATGGTCGCGGACTGGAAAGAGTTAGTTACTTTCAGAAGAGCACAAGATTTACTAGAGACTCACGGAGACGTGACACCCTGAGGAATGCTTGATTCTCGTTTGTTTCCTCTTTTACGAATAAGGAAGAATGCTGCTATAGATGCTCCTATGATTACAATCAGAGCACCAATCGTTCCACCGACTATCGCCCCAGTATTTGTGCTTCCCTTCGATGCTGCAGCTGCTGAACCTGTTGATTCTGGGATTGAAGGGGTCAATGACCCTTTCCCAGCAGTAGCCGAAGCTGTTGACTGTGTTGGAGTTGCAGTCGTTGAAGATGGAAACGAGGTGGCTACTCCAAAATTACTAGGATTTTGAATTGTGATTGTTGGGTTGAAAGTCACTCCAGTATACACAATCTGCAGGTTATCATCTATCGCTTGACCAGCAAAAGTGGTTACTGCTGTGACGTTTGCAGTGGAGGGGCCACATCCAAATTGTGAGTAGTTTTCCGGGTAATTAACCTTGTAACAGTTTGAATTCGAAGGGCTGAGAATGTGTTAGGAAATTTATTTTGTATATCGTACATTTTCACTAACCATGTTAAGATGCCATTGTTAACCATGAAGGAATTCGCAGCATATCCAGCACTATTATGATCGATACAAGAGGTATATAATCCATCCGTACAGGGAATCGGGTCCGATCCAGCTGATGAGGTTGGACAACATCCAATCACTCCATACGAAGTATCGTGAATACATGAAGATCCACTTGCGCAACCCACTGACTGAGCTTTGTTTCCTCCAATCCAACCACATATATCGACATCGAATGAGCCTCTCTTAAACAGGTCACGGGGCTCTGGGATCGTATTAGTCGGTCGTGGGGACCATTCGTCTCCCTTATACGTAGCTGTCTGTTTAGCTACGGCCCATGGTATAGCATTTGTAACTCCAAACAATGTAGAAAATAAAATTATTATCGAGGGAGACATGACAAGGAAAGAGATTAAAGACTCCACGACGTAACGACCGAGAGAGCTTGATAAAATGAACGACAGAGAAAAGAAATAACAAGAAAGGTCGAAAAGGTTTCAAAAGTACATGACAGAGAGCATGGAAGATCTTAAATGAAAAGAAGTAAGCTTTAATGAGCACTTCGATCCATTTGATTACGCCGCAACTCAGAAGAGAAGAATGAGAATTTTTCCGGGGGCCAGAATCCCACGACAAGATCTATTTCTACATCATCAAACACTTATTTCTCTGAACACGTACAAACCCAATTGGATCGCGAGCGAAGGATGCAACCACAGGACAAAATTAATCATTTGTAGAGAGTCGTGTATGATTTCTCAAAGAGGCTGTGGGATTTGTGAGATGTAACCAAAGACCCTCAATTGGAAATTTAGCTTCGCCACTGTTTATTATTGGTATAGCAGCAGCTGGAACATAGGATTTTGGATAACGTGTTGAATGGAATCAAAACCTGATATACCAATTGCCAAATCAAGATTCTTGAAACTTTTCAAAGAAGACTTTGTATCAATCATCAAACTTAATGATTGATTGTTGGAGATTTATATTGTAATTCGTTGATGCGGTTGCTATGATCCATTGGTACCTGCATTTGCGATGAAGGAGGATCGGCTAGTGATTCCCGAGCTTACTGTACCATCGATCATCAAACCCCCCTGCCTGCTGCAAAGAACACATTCCAATTCCTTGTACGAGCTTATGTACTGCTGATTATTGATGTCTATTTTTACCATGTACTTCAAAAAAGAATAAGCCGTTTGTTCTAGAAATGTGAAGGGTGACTAAGAACCGATTCAAGAACCAATGTGCTTCTAGAGTCATCAGAGAGCCATAACCTAGCGTTTCAAGATATCCCAAGCCTGGACATTTGCTCTTCGAATTTCAACACAACTACAGATATATGCTGTTTCGTGGCGTACCATGGAAGCCAATATTGAATGAGACCGAGAGTGTGCTCTGGCTGTGGCTGTTGCAGTTTCAGCACACCAAAGTGGTACATTGGTATGTTTGAATTGTAATGAGGGGTGCATATGGAAAAGTATCGAAATCGAGTCCCCACCTTGAGCAGTATTTATCGTCCCAAGTTCCTCGAATCCCAAGTTCTAAAAGCTTAGTAATTTGGCATCCGTGGATTATTGACTTCGAAAATCTGTAGTAGCATCAATCTGGAGATTTCTTTCGAGGCTCGGTATTACTCATCCTAGTGTATACGAGTTAAGTAAGAACTCTCCCCCGAAAGTCTGATATCTTACCGAGAACTGCACTGTAATAACATCATCACAATATCTTTCCATCCTAGCTGCTTTCAAGAACTGCAGGAGATTTAGACCTCTCTAAGATCTTTCGTGTGATCAACTCTCTGTTGAACTCATGTTGGCTTCACGTTCTTGATGTGTAAGGTTGTCTGTTATATACCTCGCCGCGTTGAAAAGCCGTGTTTCGGCTTGGAAATTTGCTTGGACGGATTCCGAATGGAACTCATTTAACAATCTGTTTGTCGTTTATAATCTTAGACGACCGGGGGTGATCTGATACTCGCCCAAACTGACAAAATACAACAAAGAATCGCGACAGGGTATCGAAGCAAAGTGTCAATTGCTATTACATGTTGCTACAAACCTACACGCACTTCGATCAGATCGATATCAACCTCTTGCGGAGTGCCCTATACCCACATGAATTATTTTGGGGAGGCCGGTCTTTTCAAACGATGTAAAATCAAATAGCCACTTCCTGTTTATTGTACCCACCCATGGTCTAGCCTAGCCTCTAACCGTCGTTTTGAAGCGAGGATGGCATCGGATTGGATTAGTGATATGCAAGAGAACATGCAATCATTATATTCTTATTCTTTCCGCTCAAACCTCAGACCCCCAAAGTCGAGCTTTTGCTACGTGGAACTAGGCGTGATAAGTAATTTCATGAATGGTTCGGTATTCCGATTCAGCATTTCGACAGTGCAAAGAAAGGGCAAACAGTTGCAATGCAGGAGAAAAGACACGGAACCCGCAGTCGGAGGCGAGCCCACTATTATTTACGTCTACGATTGACGAATAAAGGTTGGCTATCATGTTTGTAGCAACTACCACAAAATCCCTCATGGGTAGTATATTGAAGGACGAATGCTAGACTCATCAGATGAATTGCCCAAGAATGTGTATGCGTTGTATTCCGCAGGAACAAATTAGATTGACCAAGACATCGCTGACAGAGTTTGGCTAGATATCAACCATATGCCATTGCTGCAAAGAGCATTCCTGATTTACTCCTGTGTACCTGTATATCATATTGCTACTCAACCAAAATGACTTGAGCTTGTCACCGAGCGAGGTGAGGAAAGAATGGAAACGATCTTCTTGAATACTTGCATGTGAAGGATGGATATGAATATACCTAGTATATACCCAGGAAACTTGGAGGCTTTCAAATCATGAATGGCATGGCCAACATGCTCACACAATTACATAACTGGTACAAATCAATCAAACGACGCGACAAGTTCAAGTATGAATAGCACTTTGAAGGCAATCGAATACCCCGGTGATGGATATTTGGATGTATTATTTATTCAATGGAGCGAATCCAAAATAAACAGGAGATATGTAATATCGGTGAAGTCTCTAGAAAATTCATGTGTTTTCTAAGACATACATGTATCGTGTTGTTGTTGGTGGGGAATAAAAACACAGCGAACGGAAAAGGAATTGAGTCCCGCCATTTTTACACCTGATGCACCATCCCATCCACATCCATCCACATCCATCCACATCCACATCCACTCCCCGTACACCATGACGAACCTCGGCTCCTTATCTCGACTGATGCTCGCATTATTGATGAAGCATTCTTGCCACAAAGCCACTGATTATATCCCATTGAGAACAATTAACAACAACTGATACATACAATCTTTATTAACTTTTCATCAAATTTACGAGAATACACGCATTTGTCATCAACACACTGTCTGCAACATGAGTATGGGTCCCGTGAAGACCGCAAATTTACCCATCATTCCCTTGGCGAAAGGAATCGTTCTCCTCCCTGGAGTAGTCCTTCGCATTCCAGTGTCTGGTCAACGGCAAGATATTCCAGCTTTGCTCTCGGGGGTTTATAGCAGAGCAGCCTCAACTACACCGAGTCAGCGATTGGATAATGTCAATATTGCCTGCGTTCCTTTGAACTCGCCATTCCTCACTCAAGATGGACAAAAGATGATTACCGGAGACGAGCAAACCCCACAACCCAGAGAACGATTAGATATTAAGCCATCGAGAGCTACGAAGGATGATCTGTTTGGATATGGAGTGGCTGCTAAAATATCGGGCGTTGAAGGCACAACTGGTCGTTCCGGGGAATTCGCCTTGTTGGTTGAGGGTGTAGCCAGGATCAAGGTGGATAGGATAACACAAGAGAAGCCATTCCTTGAAGGAGAAGTTACATATTTATATGATGAAGGTAAGGGAAATCGTGTTTGTCGAGACATGACAATTACTAAACTTTTGCAGATGTGCCTACTGAAGATGTAGCCGTCCAAGGGCTTTTCGCACATCTTAAACAACTATCACGAGAACTTTTGACCCTTTTGCGACTTTCATCCCTTCTACCTCGCACATCTGGTGGGCTTTCCCCAGTGCTTGCACGCCGCCTCGAAGTATACATAGCAAAGAAGGATGTATCAGAGGCCGGAATTCTGGCAGACTTTATGGCGAATGTGGTTGAGGGATCATTGGAGGAAAAGTTACTGGTTTTAGCAGCGCTCTCAACTAAGGATCGCCTTGAACGAGCAATTCTTCTACTTCAACGTCAAGTCAGCACTATCAAAAATAACGTCAAAATAACCACAGTCACAACCTCCAACATCCCCGCAAATATAGATATCGAGCAATTCAATAATGTAAATGGACATCGTATGCGAAGACCATCAATGTCGGGCGCGCCACTACCTCCCGGTACAGCAGGTAATGGTGGGTCTCAGGATGATGATCAAGAACCAGACGAAATGGAGGAGCTTAAGAAAAAGATTGATAGCGCAAAGATGACCCCTGAAGCCGCCAAAGTCGCCGATCGAGAACTGAAGAGGTTGAAGAAAATGGCACCAGCTCAGGCAGAGTATCAAGTCTGTCGGAATTATCTGGAAAATTTGATTGAGATACCGTGGTCTCAGATGACTGAAGATCAACTTGGCGTCGACACATTATCGAGGGCCCGTAAACAACTCAATGATGATCATTATGGGCTGGAAAAGGTCAAGAAGAGATTACTTGAGTATTTGGCGGTTCTCAAACTCAAACAAAGTATCAATGATGATGTTAATTCACAACTTGCCAAAGTTGACGAAGAGAATTCAACTGCTAAGGTTGAAATTCTCAAAAGCAAGAGGACAATCGACAAATCGCCAATTCTGCTCCTTGTTGGCCCTCCTGGTGTAGGCAAGACTAGTCTAGCAAAGTCAATTGCTACTGCGTTGGGACGAAAATTCCATCGGATTTCTCTCGGCGGCGTCAGGGACGAGGCGGAAATTCGAGGTCACCGCAGAACATACGTGGCAGCAATGCCCGGCTTGATAGTGAATGGCCTGAAAAAGGTCGGTGTGGCAAATCCTGTCTTCCTGCTCGATGAGATTGACAAGGTTGGGTAAGTAACGTTGTTGTCTGTAGGCATTTCTGTAGCTGACTTCTTTGTAGCACTTCTAACTTTCATGGCGACCCATCGGCTGCCATGCTTGAGGTTCTAGACCCAGAACAAAATCACACATTCACGGATCATTATGTCAACATACCAATCGATCTTAGCAAAGTCCTTTTTATTGCCACCGCGAACAGTTTAGATACCATCCCGCCACCATTACTTGATCGTATGGAAACTATTAGCTTGTCAGGATACACGACTCTTGAAAAAAGACATATCGCCTCGCAGCATCTAATCCCAAAGCAGATTCGCACTAGTAAGTCTTCACAATCAGCTGAGAATATTGTATTCGGCCACTGACGCTGTGTAGATGGGCTCGGAGATGGGCAAGTCGAATTCACCCAGGATGTTGTGTCCAAGATCATCGAATCCTACACTCGCGAATCAGGGTAAGCATTGATGGCCCTAAATTCCTCTTTCCTATAGACCGAAGCTTCCCTACGTTACTTGTATAATCTTGCCACTGTCAAGGCTAATTGTAGTAACTTCACTGACCACCTAAACTCCTAGTGTCCGCAACCTTGAGCGAGAGATTGGATCCGTGTGTCGTGCCAAGGCGGTAGAATATGCGGAGGCGAAGGACTCGGGACATACAGGTAGAGGCTCTTTCCGCATGATCCCTAGCCAGCGAATACTGACCAGTTCTACAGAAAATTACAAACCAAAGCTGTCGGTGGAAGATCTCGAGGAAATCCTGGGTATTGAAAAATTTGATGAAGAAATTGCCGAAAAGACAAGGTTTGCCCTCCATCTACTATCTTTAGTCTCCAAGATTTGAGACTACCTTGCTTAAGCTTTTGTAAGGATGTAAACACTAACTACAAGAATAGTCGTCCAGGGATAGTCACAGGTCTCGTGGCCTATAGTTCTGGTGGGAACGGCAGTATTCTTTTCATCGAAGTGGCCGATATGCCAGGGAGCGGTAGCGTACAGCTAACAGGGAAATTGGGCGATGTACTAAAGGAGAGTGTCGAGGTAGCACTAAGCTGGGTGAAAGCTCATGCGTACGAGCTGGGTTTGACGCATGACCCATCGGAGAACATCATGAAGAAGAGGAGTATCCATGTGCACTGTCCTTCAGGGGCTATCCCAAAGGTTTGCTTTCCCATGATGCTGTGTTATAATCCGCTAATGAATTGACCAGGATGGCCCATCTGCCGGTATGGCACACACTATTGCACTTATTTCGTTGTTTTCCGGCAAGGCTGTGCCCCCAACTATGGCAATGACGGTAAGTCTCAGTATGCAATACTCGTATGTTCACGGGCACTAATATCTTCTATAGGGTGAGATCTCGTTACGTGGACGTGTTACTGCCGTAGGAGGTATCAAGGAGAAGCTCATTGGAGCTCTCCGTGCCGGTGTCAAGACTGTATTATTACCAGCACACAATAGAAAGGAGTAAGTATTTCTCCTCTCAACTTAGCCAGCACACTAACACAATTTAGTATCAAAGACGTTCCGCAAGAAGTCAAGGATGGCCTAGAGATCATCCACGTCAGGTATGGCTCTTATTTCCTCTATCATCTCATCCATTCATCTGTTCTCATTTGAAGACTAACATGCCACTAGACACATCTGGGAAGCAATGCGATACGTCTGGCCTGAAGCACATTGGCCGGGAGAGGAGAATTTCGCGGGTATTGAAAGTCGTTTGTGATTCTGATAATCATATCAGATCCGAAATCTCCCGGCGGCACCGTGTTGTGTAATCTTGACGGAAATTATCCGCTAATAAATTGCCCTTTTCTCGCTTCCTTAAAATTATATGATCACAGTTGGCGTTTCGAGCTGAAGCACAAAGTATATAAGCCAATGTTATCTTTTTGTGTATATTTGCTGTTTTGGCGCGCGTTTGGGTACTGGGCTACTTGCTGAATGGGCGTTGTGGTACATAATTTTAGGGGGTTAGCAATCATCATATCTGTATAGGCAATCGCCACTCTCTTCAAAACAAATCGCAAGATTTAAATAGAAATCTGTAGAATTGGAATGATGTTGTCATTTAAATCGGTAATACTTGCACTCTGTAATATTGACAAAAATCTGCGATCAGGCTAGGAAATTTGTACCCTCCTAACATAATATCCGTATAAGAGTTCAAATATTGAATTATCTCAAGCAGTTTTTGGGTTATCCGGGGAGAGATTTGAAAGATGTTGTATACATCTCATTTAGTATTTTGATGTTTATTTATTTAGTAGGTATGGGCTCAATGAAGAGATCTCTTGAAGAGGTAAGAACGTCGATTACACTTATTTTTGTGACTTAGATCTTTTCATGTCCGATGTTCCTCATCACAATGTGTTGAATGATGTCATTCAAATCAAACAATATGAATATCGTTAGCAAAATGATGGTATCAATTGCATAGCTAGGTATTTAAGTATCTAAAGAAGAAAAGCAGCGTGTAGTTTTCTAATGTCTAGCAATTTTCATTCATGCGATCATCTATTGATTCCTTCATTTCACGTAGAATACGATATGATACGATACGATAGGATGGGATAGGATGGGATGGAATAAAACGAAATCAACAAACGCATAGACACGGAAATAACGGACTACAAACACGGGAGAGGGGAGGGAAGGGGCGTAGGTACGTACCTCGTCTCTCTATATATATGATGGTACGAAGGTACGGAGATACATGGTGGGTGTACGGGAGGGGAAGTGGTGCGAGGTGGGATGCGGTAGGGATGGGGAGTGTGAGATGGGTGAGATGGGTGAGATATGTGGGTAGCCGGGGAGTTTGATGCGGTGCATGGTGGTGCGAGGTGTGGTTGGTGGAGTGGAGGGTTGGGGTGCTGATTGGGGGATGGGGGTGTGGATTTTGGATTTGGGAGGGTTTGCGGGTTGGGTTTTGGGAGAGCTGGGGGTGTGATGGGTGGTTTCTTGTGGAGGGAGGGAGGGATGAGTAGATGGATAGGGTGTGTAGGATGGTGGCTGGGATCAAGTGAAAGATGAATGGAGGCTGGGAGCCAGGAAGTTGGTTTTCGGGTGCGGACTCCGAGACCGGTGGAAAAAGTTGAGTCGCGAGGATTGGAATGAGGAATGCGGGTTTGGGGGAGGGGAAGGAATAGGCTATGCTAGCTGGATGGGTAGATGGATCGATTGGTATGTGTGCATATGGACGACCTCCCCGTTTCGAGCCCTCACGTGTGGTATGACTTATATGCGTGTGTGCATGTATACATGCATGACTTCTGGAAACACGAAAAGATAGGATTGGGATAGGGATGTGGGTATGTGGGTATGAAGGAAGCTTGCGATGCTCTGTAATCTATCGTAGGATATGACATGTAGTGACTGCACGGCGTGGATAATTTCATACTCATGCAGTCTTGCAGATGCAAATGAAAGGAATTGTATGATATGCAATGCGATGCGATGCGATGCACATCATGTATCGTATATGCTATTGTGTCTTTACACTTAGGGCAATATATTGGTGTAGTGGGCGTTAGCCTTTTAGGGAAATTTGGAAAACGGGAAATGGATTTTGGATTCTGGATTCTGGAGATATGTATGTGTATATGTTGTGCTGCTCGAGTGAAATCAGGGGAGGGGTAGGGGAACGTAAGCTCTGAATATACGTAGGTACGTATCAGACATACATATCTATTACATACAAGGTGCCGTTTAGAAGTGACCTTGAGGAGTAGAATGATAACTAGTTGCTGGGTTTGTGCAGCGGCGGTATTCGGTGAGATATCTGGAGGAGGTACGGTAGATGGGACACGGAGTTGGCTGTTGCGTGGGAATCTCACTAGAAGAATGTGTGTGTGTATGTGTGTGGGTTGTTACGAGAATGTGTATCTGTTTGACTGAGGAGCTGAATGGGAATTGATTGTGATGTAGTATGTATTTTACTAGTAGTATCTTACTTCCCAAGAATATGACAAATGATAGGAGACGAACGATTCCGGTTTTCAAGAGATGAAAATTGTAAAAAGAGTAAACTACAGATATAAGATTACATTTCCATCTCCAAGAAATCGATTACACAAATTCCCACAACTCGGTGAGTCTTAGCGTACTTTTCAAGTTTTAATATCGACATTGCATACCTACATTACATACATACATATATCACCCATCACAAGCGAAGGAGGATTTCTCAAAACCGCCTAACCCCTCCCTCGCCCATGCAGGAAATAAATTAGATTCTTCTACATTGCATGGCGACACGAAACTGCGACAGGGAAGTTCGGCATGTTCCTGATGTTGGTGTAGCTATTGAGGATGAGGATCGGACGGCAGCGGGGTGGTTGCAGAGATTTCGGGTGTGTGCAGTTGTGCTTGAGGCTGAGGGGATGGAGAGAAATGGGCAGAGGGAGATTGGGGATGGTGGAAACGATTGAGATTTAGCGATAGGCACACAGCTGGAATACTTGGAGATGTTGTATAATCAACAAATTTGCAAATATGAATCTGATGAAATCTATAAAATATTTTTATACGAAGCAGACAACTCAAAAGATATCACTCGTGGAATGAATACTCGTTGGGCATAGTACTAGAAGATGATCTCCCTGATGCCTGTCCCTTGATTTCTCTTTTGAGAAGTTCTAGGAGAGTATGAAGTATGTGGCGCAATCTCATCAGATTATCTTCCACGAACCGGCGTTCACTAGGGAGAGGAAGGGCGCGCCCAGTATGGAAATTTGAGAAAAACAACCTCCAATACTATCTCTTATTTCGTCTCACCACGTGCGAAAGAAAAGAAAAGAAAAGTGCTTCCACGTTATCACAAATCTAGAGTGATACAAAAAGCTGTACTCTCATTCACATCAGGCCAGAATTCCCAAATGGGAAGAGAACTCGCCCGAAGAGGAAGTGTGAGATGATCACATATCTCTCCTTGGAGATTCCTTGATCTCAAAAACTCACGATTGGACGTGAAGATACGTAATCAAAAGGGTAGCAATGCACCCGTAGCAAAATATAGCCCAAAGGAAGATAGTCAGTCAGCATGTCTCGGAATGGCAGAGCGACTGAGACACATCGGAAAGATGAGAGAAACTGAGACAAAAAAAACGCACAATCGGGTGGAACAGTGGAACCTGAGCGCACGAGGATTGCTAGAAACAAATTGGATCGTCACCGGAGGTAATAAATCGGAAGGAGAATATGTGTGTCTTACTTTTTGACAAGACGAAGGGGGTAGAACAACGTGATGGGCTAGTCTCGCGTGGATTGTAATCAAGAATGGCTCAGTCTGGAAAGCAAGCTCAATCATCGCAAGGAAGCGCTCTTGAGTTTCTTGATCTGAGTTCTCGTAAAGATGGATAGTGACGATCGGATGCAAAAGTCAATGCGTGAAATAGGGCTAGATGGATCCCTTTGCTCAGTCTCAGCTCTTCTATGGACACTCAATGCGACGGGACTTTCGACAGTGGATGCCGAGACACTAGGAGCTTTCCTCTATAGCCTCGGACAGATAGATGTGGGTTGAGTCAGGTCGACGGTGGTCTCAGCTAGATCTACTCAAACATGGAAGATCTACTTCAGCTATTGCTATGCTCAAAAATAAAATTTCCTTGCAAGTTGATGAGCGTAGTCCGATCGTGTCCTCAATATAACGCGCACTGAGCGGATACTGCGGATTAGCGGGCTTCGTTTCCGAGAGCGTGAGATGGAAAATGCTCTGGTAGGATTACAACGGCTCGAGAACGGGTGGCTCGTTAGTGGTACACTGAGCTGTTTAATGCGTGGATCTAGTACTGGATGTACGAGACAGGCACTCTACTTGGGACATATATACTATGTAGCGTCTGGTTGTAACTGTAGGAGGTATCACTTGCGACCGTCAACGTCATGTCTTCTCCGATCTCACAAGTCTTGACTCAGACGATGGCTTGATGCCAGATGAAGAATCGGCATGTTCCATGGATAACAGAGAATTCAATTGGACGGACGCAATAACTGAGTCCTTGGTGGGCGTTCATAGTTGTGTGAGTGACATGAACTAGGATATAGGTTCCCTCTTGAAGATGATCTGCCGGGATATTTTAATCAATATTAAGCATTGACAGCGCTAGTAGTGGGGTTTCCCCGTAAAGCTCTTCGGGATTAAGACTGCATAACAAAGCTCCTAACTGGACCCTCAAGGCTAAAGACGGTGCATGATTCCAGGTGGCGAACTCTCGTTTGCCATATTGAGAGTCAACCTATATCAATTGATCCTCTAAATCATATGGACCTCTTCGACATCTGTTGCTTGCAAGACATGGAATGAAAAAAGAAGATAGTGTGCTAACTTCATCCGTCTCATCTGATGTTTGAACTTGACAAGCGGCATGATTGATATATCATATGGTTCTCCACTAAGCTCTATCGAAAGTTCTGGGACACTATCAACGTCCGTTCACCTCTAGGCTCTCGCTCACAACTCAAACTGTCAGCCTATCAATTGCGACGCAGCGTATTAGCCACCGCTATGATCCCACGCATCCCGCGAACTGCACACCATCACCCATTAAAGCGGAGAATTTCATGGATCAAGCCCGAGAGCCGTTCGAAAGATCTGTACGATTCGTCCGAAAGAACCTGTAGTGTGGCTCGGCAGTGACTGCATCTCCATTTTAGGATCCCGATGTGTCAAGTCGGTAGTGCAAACTATAAAATTGATTGGCGTTCAATAGATGCCAATAGGTA